TAGGGATCCTTAGGGAGCTTTAGGAAACCTAAGAGAGCACTAGACAGAATTGGGGATTACTGGGTTATAGACCCCCCTTACAATCCCCTCCCTTAAGGATTCCATAATCTTCGGTGATTCCTTTTTGAGAGTGTGGTCTTCAGGGTTCGGGGGTCCAAAGGTTTCCGTATGTTCCGGGTTTAGGGGTTTAGGGTTTAGGGTTGGTTGAAGGTGTACTCTAGGCTTCGTGATTCAGGGGTTAGGGCCAGTTTAGGGTTTAGTCAGTGTTATACAGCATAGCTAGCTGGGCTGGTGTTCTGCGAACCTTCCCGATCTTCTCGGTGAAGGCCGCATGTGCCTTTTCGGCTAGTCGGTTTTCTTGGCTGAGGGGTTCCGGTGTCCTGGGTTCTTTTCAGGGGAGGTTCTGTTTAAGTTGCCGTGCGAATAGCCCCCTCTCTCTTCACTTCCTCTCGTCCAGCATGCGTGTGCATAGTGTATATGTCTATATGTGTATACACACAGGCATAGCAAGCTTTCCTCAATTCGGTTGCTTTGAAGTAAGTTCCTCAACAACCTACAGAAGCCCACCTCAATACCCAATCCTGTCGCCGCAAGTTATGACCGAAGTCCAGGACATTTTCAGGTGGGTAGTTACCGTTATAAGAGCCTTATAGAAGGTTTATATACCCTAAACCCTAGGCAGATGATCGATGATGGCCCGTGTGCGCGGATGGCTATGGGCTCTGAAAGATCAGCAGAGGGAGCTCTCCCGCCTGAGCATTTGCCGCACGGCCGTGCCAGATGCTGAGCTGAAAGAGATCGTCCAGAAGGCCATCGCCGAGAATCCCGCACTTGCCGCCCTGAACGACGAGTCTGCTGCCCTGAAAGAGAAGGTCAACCTAGTGTCCTCAGAACTGGCCATTACCAAGCGGGCCGAGCTCGCGGAGACGAAAGGAGCCGTGTGTGTTTTGGACGTCAAGTTGATTAAGGAACCCTAAACCCAAAACCCTAAACCCAAAACCCTCCTGTGCCTTGAGCAACATCGACTGGAAGAAGCTCCGATCGGCTTGATCTCCGTGAGCAACCGGCCTGCCACCATGCACAGGCATTTTGCTCAGGTGGGAGATCGACTTCTCTATATACCTTATGGAAGCCCTATATACCCTAAACTCCCCCTAAACCCTAAAACCTACAACCCTAAACCCTAAGCCCTATATACCCTAAACCCTAAACCCTATATACCCTAAACTCCCCGCATGTAGCTTCCTTTAACGAAGTCAGGCTGAAGATCCAGCTGCACGAGGAGATGTTTCGACCATCATTGCATGGTCTCTTGGCAGTTTACAGCTTCAAGGGTTTAGGGTCCAGGGTTTAGGGAAAGCCTGCATAATGTAGGGGCCTTAATAAATTAGCATAGTTTTTTGTTTTTGTTTTGGGGGGGGGTCCGTATTATAATTATAGTATGATATACCCCCAAACCGTATTCTAACTATGAAGGCCCGTACACCCTAAACCCTTATAGTAGCCCGTATAGAACCCCTTTAAGGAACCCTGCAAAGGAACCCCCTATGAAGCCCTATTCTAAATATGAAGGCCCCTATATTACGACTCACGGGCCCTCAACCCTAAACCCTAAACCCTAAACCCTAAACCCTAAACCCTAAACCCTAAACTAAGCGAGGGGCCGAAGCCGTCGAACGGCAGGCTGCAGGCTGCTCTATGCAGGCGCAGCAAATTCCTTCCCCACGGTGTAGGGTTTAGGGTTTAGGGTTGGTTCAGGGTTTTAGGGTTTAGGGTTTAGGGTTCAGGGTTTTAGGGTTTAGGGTTTAGGGTTTTAGGGTTTAGGGTTTAGGGTTTGGAGCCTAAATAATTACCAATACTAGTTTGGGGGTTCCTTATTACTAATGATAGTTGCCCAGAGAACCCAATACCCCGTAATTAGGGATATACCTTAAACTATAGGGGCCTTATTATTCGGTTTTTATGCTATATTCCTTAATTAAGGGGTACTGGGTCCTCTGGGTGCTCCCGGACAGCTCTGCCATCACCAAAACCAAAACCTTCACACCGCCAAATCCCAAAGGCCTCACACAGAAGCCTAAATTACCAATATTATTTGTTAGGTTTCCCTAGCATAGTATAGTCTAAAGGAACCCAAAATCTATTCTAATCATCAAGGCCCCTTCATTATAACGTTAGCCCCTCAAGAAGAAAACATGCCAACATGATCCCCACGAGCCTTGACATAGGGCTCGTGTTTAGGGTTCAGGGGTTTAGGGTTTACCCTAAACCCTAAACCCCAAAACCCCTAACCCCCTAAACCCTAAACCCCTGGACCCCTAAACCCCTAAACCCTAAACCCTAAAACCCTAAACCCTCAACCACTAACCCCCGACACCCCAAACACCCTAAAGTGTCGCTTTAAGATCGGTATGAGGCTTGGGCATCTGGCCGACGGTGGACGTACCAGACACTTGGCTTCATCCCGCCACGCCAAAAAGTAGGATTTAGGAGTTTGGGGTTTACAGGATTAGGGTTTTGGGGTTTAGGGTTAAGGGCCTACCAAAACCTATTTTTTCGTAGGGTCACTGTAATTTCATATTGGGGTGCATAATAAGAGCCTACAAAAAAGTAAAAGTAGGTTTTGGTAGGTTAATGCAAACTATAAGTCTTCAACCAGGGTGCGTGGCTTTGACGTTGTAGGTGTGAAGGGTTTCAATTGGAGAGCCTGAGAGTACAAAATGGAGTTTCACAGGTTTTTTTGCAGATTTTGCAAGGGTTCAGAGCTTAGTTTAGGGTTTATGAGTTTAGGGTTTAGGGTTTGGGGCCTAGCTTAGGGCTTAGCGTCAGTGTATAAAGCACGCGACTTCAGCTCAACGCCGCAGGCCCCGAAACCCGTAAATTCAAAGTCGAAGCCCGAAGAGGTAATCCGTAAACCTGAACCCCTAAACCCTAAACCCTAAACCCTAAACCCTAAACCCTAAACCCTAAACCCTAAACCCTAAACCCTAAACTAAAGCTCTACCCGGCCCTGCCCCAAAGACTCTCAAGTTCTTAAACCTTCAAACCAAGCATCAGCCAGAAAATGAAGAAGGACGAATCTGTCAGAGCTTGAAGTTTCACCAGAGTCTGCTGAACCTTATATATAAGCTTTACTAAGGGTTTAACTTAGGGACGTCTAGGGTGCAGGATACCCTATAGAATACCATACTGTACATGCAGTCCGAGGAGAACCATTTTTTCTACAGCCACCTCTGCCACAGTGCCATGTCGGAGCACATCGCTACCCCGACCCAGGACTCTTTAGGCTTTTGGGGGGAGAGGCTTCATTTTACTAGAGGGGCCGTGTTTTCAAGAATGGGGTTTAGGGGGTACATAGTACTGCATCGTGGCTACTTGTCCCGACATCCACATACGTTGCCCGCTACCCCAAACCGTCAACCCTAAATCCTAAGCCCTAAACCCCAAACCCCCTAAACCCCAACCCCCCGAGACCCTAAACCCTAAACCCGTAACCCCTAAAACCTGAGACCCTAAACCCTTCAACCCTAAACCCTAAAACCCCTAGACCGTCAACCCCACAGCCGTAAGCCCATTCTACCAGCCCCATGCCCTCCAACCCCCAGGGTTTACTGTTTAGGGGTTCTCAGGGTTTAGGGTTTAGGGGTTTCAGTTTTAGGGGCTTAGGGTTTAGGGTTTGGGGTTTGGGGTCGGTAAGGGTATTATTTTGTGCTGCATGTTTGTATTCGGTGATTCAAGACTACTGTAGTTATAGTGTCAGCTATAGGTATTCGGAGTTTATGGTCGTTTCCATCGTGGCCGTGCCAAAGTCTGGTGCTTGTCACCCGATTCCAGTGGGGGGTCCCAAATCTTAAGCTGTATGCTACAAGGGGATCGTTTTGTGCGAGATCCATCAAGCTTTGGGTGCAAGGGTTATGTGGGGTTATACGGTTCCAGGGGTTAGCGGGTTTAGCAAGCCCTCACAGAGCTGATATGGGACCCGGTTCCGCTTATCATCCTTATAAGCCATACAGGAGCTTTGCAAATGGAAGGAGTTCTGAAGTACCTTACTTGTCTGTGGACCAGTTCCGTAAAAGCACCATCATGAAATACACGTCTATACCGTGTTCTCCATGTTTCTCTTCACAGCCCAACTTTAGGCTCCTAAACCAAACACTACACCGTAAACCCTAAACGCTAAACCCGAGGCCAAATGCCATAGGCCTTAAGCCCTAACCCTAAACCCAAAGAAGCCAGCATACGACCTTGCCTGCAACCCTAACC